ACTGATCCCTCCAGGGGAAGCCCTCAGAATGCTCCCTGACAATGATCAGCAGAGCCTGAGGAGAGGTATAAACAGTGAAAATCAGGTTCCCAAATGTAGCCAGGAATCTCTGAGCCTACTAAATATACAGATTCCCTGCACTCCACCCTTGTAGTTTCTGAGTGCTTGGGTCCCAGGGTGGGGTCTGGAAATCTGTATTTATAAAAAGTTTTCCAAGTGGTTTTGATGATTAGCCAAGTTTTGGGACTAGTTGGTTTGATTTTCATTGTGGGTTTTTTTTTTTCTGCCTGAAGTTGCTTAAGTCCAGGAATAGAAAAACAAATGGACGCTGCTTAGAGATAAGAATAAAGAGATACAGAAACCGAAGGACAGAAAGTTTAAGTGACTTGCAAAGTCGGCAGAGCCGATTAGCATTTAAACCAACAAGCACGTATCAAACGTACAATCTGTGCAAGGCATACCGTGGCGTCTGGCAGAAATAAAAGGAAATGTAAGATGTCATCCCTGATTTTGGGGCCTAAACATAGGACACACACTCAAAAGCAGCCTGTGTGTGAGGCAATAGGGAGTGATGGGGACTGCAGCAAGCTAAAGGCTATGTGCAAATACAGTGAGCATTTGCTACTCAGCTCCAGCTTCTCGGTACATACAAGGGTGTGAGTCTAGAGTTTCCAGATAGTCTGGTTTTTTTTTTTAATGGAGCCAGAAAGTTCACATTTCCTGGCTTTTAAATATAGCAACACATTCAATTCAAAGAAAAAGAAAGAAAGAAAGAAAGAAAGAAAGAAAGAAAGAAAGAAAGAAAGAAAGAAAGAAAGCCAGCCACAATGTTAGGGAGGAAGGAAGGAAGGAAGGAAGGAAGGAAGGAAGGAAGGAAGGAAGAAAGAAAGAAAGAAAGAAAGAAAGAAAGAAAGAAAGAAAGAAAGAAAGAAAGAAAGAAAACCACACTGTTAGGGCCAAACAAGATTCATCTGTAGGCTGTCTCCTGCCCATGGAATGACACTTTGCAGACTCTTTCCTAAAAGGTTATCCAGTCCAACCTCCCTTGAACTTGAGTCCTCTCTAGAGCCTTGCAGAGTGGCACAGAGGATAAGGAATCCCATCTAGCATGTTGTTAAGTGAGTACTTGGTGTGTGTGTGTGTGTGTGTGTGTGTGTGTGTGTGTGTGTGCGCGCGCGCGCGCGCGCACACACATGCACGCAAGCGGGTGTGTTCAGGGCGGGGTTTCTGGCCTCCTGCCTTCCCTACTGGAAATGCATTCCAGGTGCAGAGGCTGGGTATGGCTGCAGCAGCCCACTCAGAGATGCCCCGGGAAGGGCCAAGATCCTTAGGCCAATAGGGTCGGGTTGCTTGAAGAGTTAGGCTGGGAGGGGCTGCAGAATAAAAGGTAAAAGAAGGAGAACTCCGGAGAAAGCTAGAGGGCACAACTGTCTTGAAAAGGAACACTGGAAAGGAAAGAACAAAGGCAAGGAAGAAGTGCCGGTTATAAAAATCCCATAACCCGGAATATGACATCCCCAGCTCCCCTAGCCAGCAGCCACATGAGCCCTCTGGCCGCTGTCCATCTGCTGGCTCCAGTCAATTTCTCTTCACAACACTCACCACGACCTGACCTTTCATGTTATATACGACTTTGCTTATTTGCATTTCTGGATGCCCCCCCCCCCGTTAGGATATACAGCTCCAAGCAAAAGGGGCTTTGTCTACTTTGTTTAGGGTTCAGCTCCTAGCGTCTGGCACTGCGCCTGGCACATAGTAGCTGCTTAGCAAATATCTGCTCCAAGAATGGGCTAGAGCCAAGCCGTTGGCACCAAAACAGTTTAACTTTTAAGTGTCAACTACATAATAATAACAACATCAGCACAAAGCACCTGATCATTTACACAGCCTGTCGTTTAACTTAATTCCTCCAACCTTTTACCAAACTGCTTCGTGCGTTTGGCTGTGGCCCAAGAGACCACTGGCCTCTGCAAGGTGGACCGCCTGAGAGGCAGCTCAGACGGAGCCACCTGCACAGAGCAGCTAGGGCAGCCCTCCCTCCTGGGCCTGGGAGACGATGCGGCTGCAAAGTGCAGGGCTCAGCAGTAACTGGGCCATGTCATCGAAATGATGGAGTGTTCCGGGACCAGGTTCATCCGGCCTCCCCAGCCCAACAGAGGGCTGATTAGAAGTGTGTAAGGAAGACAGCTGGGGCGGGGGCAGCACAGCAAACGGTTAAAGCTCTGGCTCTTAAGTCAGGCTGCTGGGGGCTGGTTTCCCAGCTGCGTGCATGACCTTGGACCTCACTGAGTCTCGTTGACCTCATCCGTAAAGCCGGCATAAACCACAACAGTAACAATAATTACTTCAAATTAATTATTTCTTGTGCAGGTTCCGATGAGATACTTCGCCAAAAGCGCCCAGCACTGTTCCTGGTGTGCATCTCAGTGCAGCGGGGACAGTGCCCTGCCAGCAGCAGCGTCACCACCACGCAGGCTCAGCTCTGCCACCCCGCCCAGCAGTGTGATGCTGAGTGACTCGACCTCTTTCTCCCTGGACCTCAAATTCCTCTTCTTTAACCCGGTCACCAGGATCGAGTAAGGAGGAATAAACAAATCCTATGTTCAGCACTTAGCGCAGGGCCTCATACATCTTAAACGTTTAATTGTGAGCTAGTATCTTATTATTAGTCAAGAAACTTTTACTAGTCTAAAATGCCAATGTGACAATCCACCAAAGGCAGTTTGCCATATGCAAATAAATCTTCGGGACAAGAGGTTCTCCAGCTGCAATGTTCTCTTTCCACCTGCTCTATACTTTAGTGGCTCTAAGAATGGCCCTCCCCCAACCTTAGGTCTGACCTAGGAAGCATTTGGAGGTCAGTCCCCAGGGCGGGGCTGACCCCGCTCCGCACCAGTTCAGTCTGCTCAGGCTCTGCTCCATCTGCCTCCTCGCCTCCACGATGCTGCAGTCTGACAGCGAGGGAGGGGACATGCAAATACGCCCTAAAAACGGCTTGTTATTTTCACGGCCTGGGTGGTGCGCATTTGTGGATGCCTGTGAAGACAGCGCGTCACTGTCAGGTATGGGGCATATGCCACCAACTGGGGGAGGCTGTGAAATGTAAAAATACCCAACCCAAATAAAGCCCTTTTCCAAAGGAAAAGGAAAAACTCCTCCAGCGCCCTTTGCAGAAAGGGAAGGGGCGGTGGCTCATCCCTGGGGGCAAATCCCCGCTGGGCCAGCCCCAGAACCAAGCCACCTGGCTCTTCGTTGGTCCCCCAGTCTCAGCTGCCCCAGTGAAATGGCTCAGCTGCTGGTTTTAAATGGCACTTATACTGTGGAACGACCCAGAAACGGATGCTTTCAAGTTATGAGCCTGGGAAAGTGAATAGCAAAAGACCAAAGACAAGGGCCCTCCATAAAGAAAACAGAACCCTAAATAAGCCAGGAAGTGCTATTCACAGCACTGCTGATTTACAAAATCGACTCAACAAGAATATAATTACCGTCAACTTCATCTTGTACTTAACAGTCTTTAATGGGCACCTACGATGCACCAAATGCAGGTGTCCCCAGTGCAAATGTCTACAGCAGGGGCCAAGCAGTTAAGGTAAATGAAGGCAGCTGGTGATAACAAAAGCAAAACCAATAGTGTAAACAAAATCAAGAACAATAGGGAGGTGTGGGGGCCTGTGGCAAAAGAGGTGAGGCGGGCTCTCCATTACAGGTAGCTATTGCCATGCCAGAATGGGGTACAGTGTGACCAGATCTCCCAGTTTTTAAAGCAAAGATTAAAATCCAAATTTTCAAGTGAAATGTTGGTTCAAGTTTCTTTTAAAACACTGTGCAGGCCAAATAAAACACATCCGAGAGCCAGTTCCAGCCCGCAAATGGCCAGTTTGCCCCCACTGACCAAGCCCCCAGCAGCCCCTCTTTGCAATGTGTATAGTACTCCTGGGGATTGGGGGTGGGGGAGCAGAGCAGTAGTTGCGTAAGACACCCAAGATGGTACCCAGACACCTTTCCCCACTCAGGAATCCCTCTCTCTCCAGAAAGGGCAGCCCTCTGCACTCCAGGCGACAGGACAGAACCACATCCAGGTGCACCCCTGCCTACGCATGAGCACCTATGCTCAGCAGCTTCCGTGCCCACCCCCACCCCCACCCCCTCTCCACCTCCCACCACTGGCTCCTTCTCCCTTCCAGGTCTCCCAGGTTGGCAGCTATTCTGTCCAACCTCTGCAGAGATGGCCCAGGCTGATGACCTCACTGGGGCAGGTCTTTGGACAAACTGCCAGCCCTGGGGAAGTGGCTAGGGCCATGCACAGCACTGATGCTCACCCACGCTGGGGACTTCTGCTTCTCACCAGTCCCCAGGGAAATGCTGCTCTTCTGCAAGGAAAGGCTCATGGGAGCCCCAGCCTCAAGGGACCCGAGGAGGGAGTGCTTCCCACGCGGGTACTCTGCAAACATCATCTAAGGCAGATGACGCTGAGTGACCAAGGCCATGCCCATGTCTGGCAGCTGCTTTGGGAAGGGGTGCCACACCACCCTTCCCCAAGTGCCCACATTCAACTCCAGCCTAGGGCCAAGAGGAGTAGAGGCAATGATGTGACCGATAATAATAATGTTTAAAGATACTCCACAATTGGCATTCTCTTGTGTCCTTTTCAAAGCATGTGCACGTTTCCACGATCTCCCCTGACCCTCCCAACATTCCAGAGAGATCGCCAGTATATTATTATTTATTATTGTTATCAATAACCGCCCTTCCTTTGCCCCCGGGAGAATCAGATGCAGCTTCAGCACCCTGCTCTAGCCCAGAGCTTCCCAAATCTTAACATGTCCACGAATCCCTAGCGAGGATGCAGGAGTTCTAGAGTGGGGCCCGAGATGCTATTGGTCCTCAGAGCCTGAACAGCAATGCTTTGGTCACTCTGCGAATGTGGGGCTAGACCTGGGGCTCTGGCCCAGGCATCCTACCCTCGGATTCTGCCTAGGGGAACAAGGCTTGCTCACCTCACTTTTCACGGGCTGGGGCCTCTTGCCCAGTTTCACCTCCAGGAAGTGCAAGGGGGCGATCATGGCCCCAATGTTGCGGATGTCTGCGTATTTCAGCTCCTCCGCAGTCAGGGCCGAGCTGGGGAGTCCGGTCAGGGGGCCGAGCCCTGGCAGAGAGCCCGCAGTCACGGAAGGGTCTGGAATCTGCCCAGGCATCATAGCAGGAGGAGCGGCAGCCCAGCCTGGAGTGGGTGAGGGGAGATCAGGAAACGTGCTGTCAGCCAGGTGAGAGGTTCCATGAAGAATTAAGCCCCCATGCCTTGCCAAGGACTCTTCCCTTCTTTCACTAATGTTCCTCCAACCTCCTCCTCACCCCCAGTTGTTCCTCCTGCCCTTAAGTCCATTCTGTTATGGAGGGAAATGCTGATCAATGAACTCCCAGCAACATTATTCTTGGCGCTGAACACAATGCTTAACCCAGGCATAGGTCACATTGATTCAGTATTTGCTATGTGCTCTGCACTGCAGCAATCCCATAAGACAGAGTCAGACCCATTCCACAGAGGAAGAAGCCAAGGCTTAGAAAGATAACTCACTCAAGACGGTACACAATGAAAACTGGAGTAGTTGGGATTGAAACTGCAACACGCTGCCTCCAAAGAAAATGGATTATAACGGTGAGATTTCAAGCACCTTCGCACCTGTTCAAGAGGGAGCTATTTTTGGTCTTGCACGGTGCCTCCCCTCAAATCACACATCCCATTCTGCATACTTGTTAAGACACCCTGAATATGAAATGAGGCAAATCGGAGCTAAAGGTAAGTATGTGTGTGTGAGTGTGTGCATGCAGCAACTATGAGGAAGATACTGAGGCAGAGGAGATAAAATTCATTAGTGTGTGCTTTCCCAGTGGAGCCCGGGATCAGAAAAGTCCTCCCCGATCTCCTCATTCTCAAAGCAAACACATATTCTGGCTCTGCCAGACCCAGGAGGTATGCAAAGGAAGACAGACTCAGGCATGAAAGAAAAACATAAATTAGACAGGTCGATGCCAAGAGAATTCTTATTTCTTCCTTCTCTCTACAGGGAGAAGGTCGTGAATAAGAAATGGTCACTTCAAGGTGTGGAGGGAAGTAGGCATGTCTGCCAGGAAAGCCAGACTTATCTGGTCCCTTACAGGGCTCGTGTCCATCCATCCACCCACCCATCCATCCACCCTTCCAATTGTTGACCGCCTAGATGCCAGGAGGCACATCGCAGATCCGATGTGCACAGCTTTGTTAAGTCACAAATCCGCTTCTGGATTCCAGGAGGAACTTCTCCACCTCCCCACCTCTCTGCCCAGGGCCATAAAATCAAAACCTTGACTTTCCTGGAAATCCTGGAGGCGCTTTGTCCAATCTTTCCATCTCCATCAGTCTCTTCCCATGAAGAGGGAGATATTTCTCGAGACAGGGGAGATGTGACATCCACTGCACGGCACCTCCTGGTCGGGCAGAATTAAGGTTCTCCTATGGCCACGCTGTCTTGGGCGCTCTGCCTGCCGCAAGAGCAGCCCTGGGAGATAACTACACCCACCCTGTCCCCGTTGATGTTGCCACGTCTGAACTGCGGGAGAGGGGTCCACTAGGGAGCCCCTTTTGGCCACAAGCGCACCCCACATTCTCCATCTCTGTTTCGCTTTCAAGGTGAAATTTGGTTCCCTATCCAGCCCTGTGTCCCTTTCTCAATAAGTTCTGCACTCTGACGGGAAAAGGGTGTGAGGGATTTGTACCCTCAAACCACAAAGACTTCCAATGGACATGACTTTTAAAGAAAGGTGCATGTGGGGCGCCTGGGTGGCTCAGTTGGTTAAGCGTCCGACTTTGGCTCAGGTCATGATCTCGCAGTTCGTGGGTTAGAGCCCCGCATCAGGCCCTGTGCTGGCAGCCAGCTCAGAGCCTGGAGCCTGCTCCAGATTCTGTGTCTCCCTCTCTCTCTGACCCTCCCCTGCTCACACTGTCTCTCTCTCTCTCTCTCTCCCTCTCTCTCTCTCTCTCTCTCAGAAATAAATAAAAAAGCAAGGTACATGTGAGTGGACAGTGGACCTACCATTTTGCCCTCAGCACACCAGCCGCATCTGCCCATAAGGCCATTTGCAAAGAGCTCCCTGCCTTGCACCCAAGTTCACATTTGGTGCCCCAGGCCCTACATCGGTGCTCCACCCCTCTGCCTCCCACACCGGGGCCCCTCAGCCCCTCCTTCCCATCCCACACCCTTTCTCCCCTCCTTAGCACCTAGTCTCCCCCAGGCCATCTCAGAAAAGGATCTGAGACTCATTCACATCAAGTTATAGTCTTAGAGCTGGAAGAGGCCCTGTGCTTATCTAAACCACATCCTCATTTTGCACAGGAGGAAATTAAAGCTCAGAGAAGTTAAACTACGTGCCCAAGGTCACACAGGGGAAAAGCCAGGGCTGGACTCCTGGTCCCTGGGTTTTAGAACCAAAGCTTCCTCACCCTGCCCTTTTTGTCTCCCCTCCTGGGGTTCCACAGAGATTAATGCAGAAGGAATGACCTTCTAATGGTGGGTTTTGAGAACTAGCCCGTAGTGGAGGACCCTCTACTCTGCCTTCTTCAATGCAGATCCAGGTGTAGGAAGTTCCCTGAACACCCTCCTGGGTGGGAGCCCAGACATGGCCACAGCCCCTGAGACATCTTGCATGTGGTGGGTCAATGTCCTGTGACCTTCCCTAAGCCTGAGCTGGACTGAAGTCACCCACACACCCTCACCTGCCCCCATCCCCAGAGCCAGCTCCGCAATGCAGAGGAGGCAGGTTTCCACCCCAGAAGGCAGCTCTGACGGGGTGGTCAGCGGCACATTTCCCTGGGGCCTCCTCCAGCGAAAATACGAAAGAGGCCAATGTAAGGACTCATTCCTTTGTGGCAAAAACGATGCCTGGGCCCAGCCATGTGGACACCTAGCAGGCAAAAGGGAGTGATTTCAGGCTACCTGAGCCAGACTGACAAAAGAAACTCACATCTCCTTTTCAGAAGAGGGGCAAGCCTTACCAAATCCCCTCTGCCAAACCTGACTAGATGCCACAAGGAAGCAGTGCCCCCCAGACGGACGCGTGAGCTCAGCGAAACAGACAGGAGGCGGGGGCTGGGAAATGCTCTGTGCCTGGTGCTTCGGCTGGACACAGACCCTGAGGTACCACACCCCAGGTGTGCAGCCAAGCAAAAACACACAGCAAACGCTCCTCCTTGGCCAGAAGCCCCAGAACCTTCCTGTCCTGTAAGTGCCAATTCCTGTGGGACAAACTGTGCCATGTGGGGCCACTCAGCAAACGTAGGGGTGATTTCAAGGGGAAAGGAGCTGTCATGGTTGGTTGCTGCCCCCATGGAATCCCAGTGGCATCATTTCTGGCACAGAAAGGGTAATCAACAAATACGTGTTGAATTTATAAATAAATAAAAATGAATGAATGAACAAATGAAAAAAAATATTCACGACGGGACAAACTTCAGTGAGTGGGGTAAGGCTCTGTCTCTGGGAGTTGAGACGCCCGTTATCCACCCCCAGATTATTTGTTCCCACAGTAGTCCCCAGGAAAAATATTCCAGAGGCTTCTGTATGTTTCCCTGCCTAAACCATCTCGGGAAGAGATGGAAGCCAGACCCCACTCTATTCTGGGAATGATAGGCTCTGTTGCAGCTTCTGTTTATTTTCATACAGATGGCATAAATGAGACACTAACAAATGATCCCAAAATATAATGGATTCTTTGCTACTGTGGAAGCCCCTCAGAGGGGCAACCACCCCCTGGGAGAAGCAGCCCCATAAATTCTTGCCATTCCCGCTCCCCCATGAACCCATCCCAATGGCCAGCCTCTCTAAGAGGCTCAGGCACCAGGCTTTCCTCTGCAGAAGCAAAAATCCCCCCTTTCTCTTCTTCTCCCCGCAAGGACGCCCCTAACTGCTCAGATACAAACCACAAAGTCCTTAACACATGCCATTCCTAGGAGACAATCACAACAGCTGACATTCACCAGCACTAAGTCATCCTAAACGGCTCTGGGGGTGGGGGTGAGGGGTGCAGAAGATGGAGAGGCTGGAGCAGCTCCCTTTCATAACTGAGTCTTCGTTAACTAGAAAGAGCTGGCTGACGATCCAAGGTTGAAAGGCAACTTTGGTGATTTGAAAAATAAAATGATTTGATGTGATTTAGGGATCTATAAAAATGGGGGGGGGGGGAGTGGTGAGGAACCAGTAACAGCCAGGAGGAATTTACCCACTTCAAGGAAGATATAGGAAAGACGACAAGAGGTGAAATCATCTCCCCAACTGCTTGTTCCATACGGAAACAATTTAGGAGGAAAAGGAGAACTATGCAGTCAAAGCTTTAGGGGGAAGAACCCAGAGTTTTTTCCCTTTAGGGCCCCGGGGTGTTGGAAAGGAAGATAAACACCCTCTAGTCTCTGTTAGTAACTGGGGTGCATAAATAAAGGGCAGGCTATATATGTTTGCAGAAGACCAAAACTGGCAAATGGGACTCAACCTCAAAAGACAGGGCCTAGAATCCAAAATGATTTTGGCAATTTGGGACATTGACCAGGAACAACTTGGCAACTAGCCAATGAAGGAAAGCTGTGTGATGCACAGATCAGGGATGAGACTGACAAGGAAGGCTTGAATAAGACAGAGCGCGTTCAGGAAGTCACGGTAGACCCTAAGCTGTTATTGAGCCTAAGATTTGGGGAGGTTTGATGCAGCTCCCTTACAAGCAGGCTTGGAAGAAATAGGGACCAGATGGGTCCAAGAGGCAAGAACCTAAAGCAAAGATCTGTCAGCTGTTTCCGCCTGTTCTGACTTACATAGGGTCTTGTAGGAGCACAGTGTGGGGCGCTGCCTTGTACATGCACAAGAAAAGCCGCAACACATGTCAATTCCAGAAAATGGGTCCTATTGGAAGAGACTAGCATGGAGGGTCATTTCAACTGAAAGAAGGAAGAGTAGAGATAACCTAAGTTTTCCTCTCTTATTTGCTTCTCTTGTTTCCTTTATGTAAATCTGTAAGCTATAATTGATTTAATGGAAACGTCTACAAGTAAGTAGCAGTCTTGCTTTGATGGGTCAAGCTCATAAAGGGCTATTCTTGTTAGAGAGTGTCTAATCATCATCATCTTCATCTAGAATGGCAAAGACAGATGAAAAGGGGGTAGGGGGTAGGTTAAGAGAAAGTTGGGATCTGCATCATGAACTCTCTGTCCATAGAAATAAAAGTTGAAGGGAGGCTCTAAAATCCCTGGGCCTCTTTGAGAAGGTCAGCCCCGCTCCAGGCAAACAGTTGGCCACAATGAGTGCGGAGGGCCTGAGGCTGCAAGGCTCAGCGCTGAGAGGAAGGGGAGGTGAGTGGGGGCAGATCAAGGAGCAAAGGAGCTCAGGGGTCAGGCCACAGGAACACCAGTGGGGTCAGCAGTCAAGAGCAGGTAGCCAGCAACTGAGAATCAGCAAGAGGGGGTGGGAGGCCTTGGGGGCCAGAGCCTGGGAAGATTCCCTGGAGGAAAATGTGCAGGACAGAAGTCCCTGGCCAGGAAGGGGAGGGGGTTGCAGACGGAAAGGTTCCAGGCCAGTGGTCACAAAACGTAGTACTACCTATTGTGAATCTCGGAACGTTAAATGCCAAACCTGTTCTTGAAGCTAAGGAAACATCTGGAATGATCTGTCTCTTGGAATCTGAAATGAGGTGGGTAAATCAGCTTCCAAAAGATAAGCCGATCCAGAAGGCAAAGAATGAAGGGATGGAGAAATCTCTAAGAATACGAATAGGGGCGGCCTCACACGTGCCTCCGATGGCTG